TTAAGCATGGCAAAAACTCAAGGGATTTCTCTATACTCTCTTGAAGTGACTTGCATTGTCTTGAAGGTGGAAGGACAATTCTGAGCCACAGAGACATTTCTGCATCATTTTAAATATCCGAATAGTTTTTCCATGAAGCAGTCTATGCCACACTAGCTCTCTCCACCAGAACAGCCATGAGCTAAGAAGATGAGCAGTTCACAGCTCCCTTCTTTGTTAGATGATTGGCCCAAATTACTACATAGTCAGAAGAGACCATAGGGTCCAGAGGATCTAGGGCATGACTCTGTAAGTCATGGAGGAAGACTCCTTTAAAATGGGTAAGCCTCCCTCTAACTGAGGAATCTATATCCCACACAGGAAAAGATATGGTCCCTATTTGTTTAGAGTCTGACCCTCAGGCACCAAAGGCACAGATGATATTGTGTTTCCATGGTTCAGGTACATGACAAGGTTAATTTTCTTGACTGATACCTTTGAATTTCTTTCCATTCTTGGGAATCAATTCCTTAGTTCTTAAATAATATATACGGCACTGGATTTACGCTGAGGCAGGTCCTTCATTTCTTCATGCCCTTCCTTCTTGATGAGTTCTCAGCCATACACCAGAATGCACAAATATTGGATGGCTTTCTTGACACAAGCCATGTGAATATCCAGCATTGCTTTGGTTTGTGTCCCAGCATCTGCTCTATATCAGATACGTGTGGAATCTCTGTATTTTCACACTGTGTGAGGGGTGTTGATGTGGCTAAAGGGGCAGTGAACAATGGTGCCTAGATGAGGTTCTGTTCAGAGTCTCTGCTGGCCAAAGGCAAACTGGGGAGATTGGACTTTTGACTTCTGAGTAAAGGTGACTAGTTGCTGATCCCAGCTGATCTAGCCAAATTTCTTCCTGGGTGACAGCCCTTGAGAAATGCCGTGAACTGAGTCAGACAGTGGTCAAAGGGGGAGAAGAATAATAAGCACTCCATGTCTGCCTACTCCTTTCATTGTTCAGCAGAGTCACCAAGGAAGAAATACTTCCCAGAAGTGTTTAGGCTTGAGTGCTGATCTGGCAGCTGGTGGACACACATTGTGGCATTTATTCTTCTTCCCTGCATTCTTGGAGCTAATCACTTATGAAAAGTCAGCCATCAGTGCTTTTTTAAAAGTCCATTTTCAACAGAAAGAAGGGAAAACTGTTAGTGAAGGGAAGCTAGCAGGGAAGCTAGCAGCAGGGACACTGGAGTACCCCAGTGCTGAACCTGCCCCAGAAGCACACTGCCTCTAACCACCCACCAGCCCTGAAGCCCCAGCCCATGAACAGCATGGAGTGAAACACATGACCACTTCTTTTCTGCAATAAACCTGGCTCACCTCTCAGAAATCATTAAAATCTCTTAGGAAAGATTCAGAGAGCAAACATACCTAACTCAATCAACATTTTGATCAGCAGTTGAGAAGCCACATAAACCATGCGTCTGTTTCCAAGAGGGAAAAAATGTACTGAATCAAGAAGTGTGGGAATCTGGAGACAAGAATCTCTTCCATTCTCATCTACTGGCTCAAAACATCCTCTTGGGTGGCCATGTGCTGGATCATCTGTCCAAACAGAGTCTACAATAGTGGAAAAGGCAGATAGATGATACCTGGTTCTCTGGAGTTGTCAACTAATGATAAGGTGGGCTGTACAGCCCTGTAATTAAATCCATATAACACAGTTCTGTAAGTGCCCAAGTTTATTACCATGCCAGGGTCACCTGATATAGCCATGAGGAATTAAATCATGCCATCTGGAGGGGCCACAGTATAAGTGATTCCGTGGCAACTTTAAGAAAAGCAGTCGGACTTTTGAGATCTTTATCAGAAACAGAATGTAACAGCAGTTGCCAGGATCAGTATAGTTGTAGTTTCCAGGATACAGTGAAGTTTGCAAACTACACAGGGTATAGATCAATGTCTGAGAACAATTGTCCTCTCAGGCATCTATGCTTCCTTGACTTCTGAGGGAACATACAGAGAAACACAAAGTAGTCTGAATGCTTCATTGCCTGAGGGAGTGCCTTGGTCTCTCAGGTACTGGAAGGCACATGGTGCACCAGGAGCCATGGACTCTAGCAGGAAAAACCTATGATGCATGCCTCTTAAAGAAGCTAAGCTAGGCCAGCTCCATGGTTCCCTGCACAACAAAGCATACTGGTGATGTGAGTAGCCTATGGAGGGGCTGGCAGAGAAGAGAGACATGTGGTAGTAGGCAGAGATGTTAAGCATAAGAGCCACACAGGGTGGGGGTGACCAAGGCATAAAAACTGGTGTGAGGGCTGGGCATTGGGGAGTCATCAGGACTAGACAAACCAGTATGCAGACCATGGGAGCCATGTCTTTCAGAGTGCTGAATTTGCTCACCAATAAGCCGTGAGAGTTAAGGTGGTTGCATGGTCAAGACCAAGGAATTGGACTTGGTGAAGACCTTGCCACTCTTCATACTGCTGTGATAAGGCACCATGACCAATGCAATTGTAGAAGAAAAAGTTTATTTAGGGTGTAGAGTTTCAGAGCATAAAGGTATGGACATCATGGTGGAGAGTATGGCAGCAGGCAGGCTGACATCGCCCTGGAGCAGTAGCTGAGAGCTTCCATCTGATCCACAAACATGATGTAGGGATACTGGGATTCCTGTACCTGAGTCTACTGCCTCAATGCCCATTCATAATGGAAATCAAACAGCCTTTCGCATGCAATTGACTGACTCAGTAAGTTATGAAATATTGCAAGAGCCATTGTGCAAACTCTCAGGGATCAAGGGTCCTGCCAGGCTCTAGTCTAACACCAACTGATGTGATGTTTGGATTGGACTGAAAGAGCAAACCCAATTTTCTTCCTACAGCCTGTGTTGTGACACACAGAAACACGAACTGCATTGTGGGAGGAAAAATCAAATCTGTGGCCAAATAAATTTGGGTAGTTCTGGAGAAGATACCAAAATTTCTGAGATTTATTTCTAATTGTGATAAAGGTATTTGTAGAAGGAGCGGCAGGCTGCGTTCCCACCCAGCTCCTGCACGGCTAGCTTTACACCCAAAATAACAACACACAAATTGTATTCTTTTAAACACTGCCTGGCCCGTTAGTTCTAGCCTCTTATTGGCTAATTCTCACATCTTGATTAACTCATTTCCAATAATCTGTGTAGTGCCATGAAGTGGTGGCTTACTCGGAAGGATCTTAACCGGTGTCCATCTTAGAGAGACGAGCCATAGCATCTGCCTCACTGCCTTCTTCCTCCCAGCATTCAGTTCTGTTTATTCCGCCTACCTAATTTTCTGTCCTATCAAAAGGCCAAGGCAGTTTCTTTATTAACCAATGAAAGTAACACATAGACAGATGACCGTCCTCCATCAGGTATTAGCATATATTGTTATAAAAGGAGCGGTGGGGCTGCATCCCCAGCACCCCAGCCACCTGCTAGCTTATGCCCCAAAATAATTACACGGACACTGTATTCTTTTATTTTTTAAAAATATTTATTTATTTATTTACTTATTTATTTATTTATTATGTATACAATATTCTGTCTTGTGTGTATGTCTACAGACCAGAAGAGGGCACCCAGACCTCATTACAGATGGTTGTGAGCCACCATGTGGTTGCCAGGAATTGAACTCAGGACCTTTGGAAGAGCAGGCAATGCTCTTAACCACTGAGCCATCTCTCCAGCCCCCACTGTATTCTTTTAAACACTGCTTGGCCCATTAACTCTAGCCCTTACAGGCTAATTCTCATATCCTGATCAACCCATCTCTAATAAACTGTGTAGCACCGGTCTTACCGGGAAAGATTCAGCATGTCTGTCCTGGCAGCTTGCTTCATCGTGTGCATCTGCCTGGGAGAGGGGAGCATGGCCTCTGCTCCAGAGAGCAGAGCTGTCGAGTCTGAGCTCACTTCCTCTTCCTCCCAGCATTCTGTTCTGTTTACTCCACCCACCTATGTTCTAACCAATAAAATGGGCCAAGGCAGTTTTTTTTTATTAGCTAATGACCTTCCTCCATCAATATATTACATCATTTTTGTAGGTGTGATAAAACACTCTGCTAAAAGTGACTGACAGAAGAAGGAGTTTATTTCAGCTGATGGTTCCAGGGGGATAAGAGCTCCTTATGGGAGGCATGTCAGCAAGGATGAGAGCAGGGGTGGGGGAGCTTAGAGATCAAACAGGAAGGAGAGAGAGAGAGAGAGAGAGAGAGAGAGAGAGAGAGAGAGAGAGACAGAGACAGAGACAGAGAGACAGAGACAGAGAGAGAGGCAGAGAGACACAGAGAGAGAGACAAAGAGAGGTTGGAGTAGGAGATAAATCCCCAATGCCTGTCCCCAGTGATGGAAGTACTCCAGCAAATCTCCACCTCCTGAAGGTTTCATAGCCTCCCCAAACGTCACCATCAACTGAGGACCAAGTGTTCAAGCACATGAGCCTTTGCTGACATTTCTCATTCAAACCACATTATATTGTGTGTGCCTAGAACAAAAGGCACAGGTCTTAGCTGTCTGGTCCAACAAATCTTAACATAAAATCATTTCCTTGTAGCCACCATTCTGATCAAGAATAGAATGTATTTAGCTCTCTCCAAAATGTTCCTTTTGTCCCTCCCAGTCAATAAGCCCTCACCAAAGATAATCACTGCTCTGCCTTCCTCTATCGTGGACAGGTTTTTCCTGTTTCATATAAATGTGTCCATTCTTGTGTAGTTCCTTTCTACAACACAGTGTCTGTTGTGTTAGCACACAGTGCATATGTTGTTTGTATTTCAGAGCTGTGTGGGAGTTCACTTATTTGTCTTTCTCTTAATGCGTATTTCCTGACAGCAGCTGTTTTAGGTATCAGTGTATTCCTGCTGGGCTCCCAATTTGCCCTTTCTCAAAGGCTGTGAAAGTAGATCTGGATCTTTTTAACACTGTTTCTCACAATTCAGCTCTTAAAGCTTGTCAGAAGAGGGTGAAACTGGAGAAGCCTTGGAGGGGAAGCATTTTCCTAACAGGTCAGCCTGGCTGGCATTGCAGGCTCCTATAGCATTATAGCACCTAGCAGAAAGCAGCTTCATTGAGAACACATCCTCCGGGTTTCAAGCAGAGTGCAGCTGTGAGGTAAATTGCAAATAGCTTCCCCAGGCAAACCAGAGGTCTTCAGCTCTCTCTGTCTCTCTCATGTGCATGTGTGTGTATGTGTGTGTGTTAAAACATGTTCCTGTGAAGTGCAAATGCATGGCTCTGCCTTTCCCCCATGGTCCAGATCTCAGCCTGGGGCTGTGAGGTTTGGCCTTGGCTGTGCATCTCAGTCTGGGATGGGCAGTGACTCTTCTCAGTCCTCCACAGTTCTCTTCTTCCTCTGCTTCAGTGTAGAGGAATGGCCTCCATTTCTGTGTGTTGAAAGATTACAGAGTTTTCTTTCTTTCTTTTTTTTTTAACATATTATGTATGGGTGTTCTACATGTGTGCCTTACTGCCAGAGGGGGGCATCAGATCTTATTATAGATGGCTGTGAGCCACCATGTGGTTTCTGGGAACACAACATACTCATATTTTTAAAAGTTCATTTTTAAATTGTGTATATGTGGTGTTTGGTATGTATGCATATATAATGTGTACTGTTTACACAGATTCACAGTTCCATTTCCTTAAACATCTATTTTTTCCTTTGTTTTGATATATTTTGGGTAAATTTTAAAAGTTTTTAGTTTATATATTAGGGAATTTTGCCTGCATGTTTATCTGTGTACCACTTGTGTGCAGTGCCCACAGAGGCCAGAAGAGGGCATCAGATCCACTGGAACAGCAAATAAAGGTGATTGATTGCAGGAAGTGCTCCTAACTACTGAGCCCTGTGTTATGAACTTTCAAATACTTCTCTGTTAGTTCCTTATAAACTATAAATTCTGGCCCTGGTGCTAGGTTTGGAACACCAGAACAGAGCCCTCTAATCTCCTTGTGTTTGAGTATCTGTTACTCCACCCTCTCTCTTGGGAGACCTGGCAGTTTGTCTTTGTTCTTTCAGATGGACTTCATGAAGATGAGGCTGGTTTATGCTTTCATTCTGACGATGGGAGTTCTTTGCTTCTACTTCAGCATGGAGCCTTTTGAGGAACCACCATTTGTTCTCAAGAAAGGTCACGGGCAGTTTCTCCAGCTTCCAGATATAGACTGCAAGCAGAAGCCCCCTTTCCTTGTGCTGCTGGTGACTTCCTCCCACAAGCAGCTGGAGGCTCGGATGGCCATCCGCAAGACATGGGGTAGAGAGGCAGAGATTCATGGGAGGACTGTGAAGACCCTCTTCCTTCTGGGGGCCTCAGACAGCCCTGATGAGATGAATGCCACAGCCCAGGAGGGCAAGCATCACCGTGACATCATACAGAAGGACTTCAAGGACGTCTATTACAACTTGACCCTGAAGACATTGATGGGCATGGAATGGGTGCACCACTTTTGTCCACAGGCAGCTTTTGTGATGAAGACAGACTCAGATATGTTTGTGAATGTTGGCTATCTGACTGAACTGCTGCTGAAGAAAAACAAGACCTCCAGGTTCTTCACAGGCCACATAAGGTACTATCAACTGCCCTTCAGGCATAACTTAAACAAGTGGTTTGTGAGTAAATTTGAATATCCCTGGGACAGGTACCCACCTTTTTGTTCTGGAACAGGTTACATCTTTTCTAGTGATGTGGCCAGCCAAGTAGACGATGTCTCTGAGAGTGTTCCATTCCTCAAGCTGGAGGATGTGTTTGTTGGGCTCTGCTTGGCCAAGCTGAAGATCCGGCCTGAGGAACTATACACCAAACAGACCTTTTTCCCAGGTGGCTTACGCTTCTCTGTGTGCCGTTTTCGGAAAATTGTGACCTGCCACTACGTGTCACCCCAGAACTTACTCACTTACTGGCAGGCACTGGAGAACTCTCAGGAACAGAATTGCTCTGATGTCTGAGGGGAGCCTGTGGCACAAACTTCTAATAACCTTTGGTGATACTTTGGGAAGGTCTGGGATGACCTTGCTGGGAACTGTCAGGAGTAGAGAGAGAAGGAGGAGGAAGGCAAAGAGTGCTGTTCTCAATGCCCTGAATACACTAGAGTGGATGTATACACATGCAGAGTCAAGACTTGTTCCCACTTGGCACCCAGAGCAATAACAGATCTCGACTTTCAGGCTTTTGTACTATGTTCTCAAGGTTTGAGACATGCCCACATCTGCTCATTTCAGGGCTCAGTATACATATGAAGCTGTGGATGTGATCATTCCCATTTTACAGGTTAGGAACCAGGAGCCATGGCTACTTACTGGAGCCCAGTCTACAGATGGAGCAGGAATGAAAATCAAGTGCTATTAGAATTAAGTTGGTGGCACCCAACTGAATGTCCCGTTCTTTGGGAGAGGGTGGTAGTAGAAGAAGCTTAGGATTGGGGTGTCTTAAAGTTAACTAGCATCATTTAGTCTCTTTCCTGAGTCCCCTGCCCCTCACTTCCCAATCCTTCTATTTTTAAATGCTCAATCTGGGATGGACCAGCTTTCTCATTCCTCTCCCCTCACTTGAATGATGTAGCTAGGCACTGAGTCTGTTAGCCACTTGGTGCCCAATGCATCTTCAACATGAAACATGCATGCCTGCAGACACTAGCTCACCTCCATGCTAGAAGGAAACTGGGTTGTATGACCATATAAATCAGACTGAGAAACCATAGCTGGGTCTTTCTGTATAGGCCAAATACACTGCTGAAATCCTAGCAAGGGTGACATCTCCTCTGAGCCTTTTGAGACACCTTGTCTCTGCTGAGGATGTCTTGATGTATTGATGGTCATGACCAGTTGCAGCACTGGAACTCTTCAGATCTCAAACTCAGGGGCAGCCAGGCACAGGCGTGGTCTGTATGGGTGTCCAAGAACTTTGCTGGAACCTGAACTGGTCCAAGCTCCTGGGATGCAGAGCATGGAGATAGGCCTAGTGGAAGGGCTTTCCCTGCATCTGTGATCTTTCTGACCCCAGGTCTTCACACTGGATTATCACATGGTCATAGATCTGCTGAGTGTTTTGGTTTGGAATTTAACCTTGATGGTTTTCAAAACTGGGTAAAAACAGGGGCTCATGGCAATTCGGCCACTGTCACCAGACATATAGTCTTGCTCTGTATCATGGGAATTATTGTTCCCCCCTGCCTTTTACTTTACTAGATTTTAATGTGTGCTTGGAGCCAAGGCTTCATGTGACTGTGTGACTGTAACGTTGCAATATGCTCTTTGAACACAGGAAAACTTAATCAAGTTAGAACTCACTCAAGTCAGGACCAATACTCCTCCAGTCGGAGGAGGCTGGAACCTGCCTCCAGGGCCTCATTTCCACACGTGTCCCTGTCACTCCTCCGAGTCTCTTCCATAACTCTTGGGGGGAAATTGTTCTCTTTGTGACATTCTTCAAAATCCTACAGCACCAAGTTCTGGACCCTTAGTTCAGAATATGTGAAAATCTGAGCGGGGGAAAGAGAAAGGGTGATTGTTCCTGGGTGTGTACTAGGGACTACATACATCATCAAAACCAAACCAGGTCTTCTCTTGACAGAGAGGGAAGCCAAGGCTTGCATTGAAGATGCAGGCATTCTTTTCAGGTAGCTGCACTTCACTCTTATGATCAAACTGGTTGTCAGCAGAGGCAACTGAGGTGACTCAGTGACTCGCCCAGGGCCTGAGATGCAGTGGAGGCCCAGCTCTCAGCCTTCTCCATTGGCACAGCATTAACAACCTTCCTGCATGCTTACTTCTCCCAGAAGCCTGGGGCTGGTGCTACCCAAGGAGTCACCAGCATCTCCCTTTGCTCGCACACTGCCTTCTCTGTCCTGGGTGTTGGCTTGAGTGTTGGTCTACTTCTTCATGGTTCTCCCTGAAACTCACATGGCCCTGGGGCCTTCCGTGGAATTCTCACAAACCTCCCATTCAGACTAGCTTTATCATGAGGTCATGTGCATTTCACACATGCAAACACAGCCGATGCAGGTGTCTACATGCAGGATCCAGGCTACTTTTATTACTTGGGATGAGACATAGCAAGTGCCTACAATCTTCTCTTTAGAGTGTGAGGTTGTCTTGATCTCTCTCTTGCACAATCAGCTGCACGCTTGTCACGAGGCCAGGTGTGCTATGGTGGGGACATGAGCTGAAGGAGTGGCTCACAGTTGCACACCCAGAGGGTTACTGACCTCCAGTCTCCAGGCAGAAGTGAAACACACCCACCACCCTGCTGATGGAGCACAGCTTTTACCATCACAGCTGCACCAGTGGTCGCACTAGAGTGTCCATCGCTGGCCTCAGGATGCTGTTTTGAAAGAACAAAGCCAGGCTTCAGACACCATCTGGTTTCCCCACTGAGTCTGCAGTCTCATGGCAGATTGATTAATTCACAAGCTAAATTTAATATGGTAGTTGCTGGGCATCACTTAAAAAAATAGATGAGATGTTGCTTAGATCTTCTCCATCCCTCCTTTTGGAAGCATTTGCTTTCTCATACCACGTTTTTAAAATTAAGAACTAATTTCCTGTATTCATCACATTAGGACTGTCATCTGAGCCTTCTCTAGGCTGGGTCTCCTGGTAGACAGGATGCTTACTCCTCTCTGGCTGGGACTTTGGCTTGGTATAGTGGGGGAGGAAATTATCCACAGGTCCTGAGGGGACTTCGTAAAGGAGGTGTCTGATACCAGCCAAGCTGCTGCATTCTGTGAGGGTGCTAGCCTGAGAGTTTCTTCTGGCCTGGGTAAGATGGTTCAGTGGGTTAAGGTGTTTGCTGCCAAATTACTCTAGCAAATGCAACTCAGTCCTTGAGACAATTGAGCTTCACAAGCCCATGGTGGGCCTGCCCACATGTGCATGCACACACATAAATAAGTGAAATGCAAACAAAAATAATCTTTGCAAAGGTTCCTGCAAGCACTGACCTCCCAGGCTCTTTGCTAATTTTTATTTCTCTGGCTCTTCATGATGCAAACCCTGTGCGTGAACACTGGCACAGGTGAATTAGAAGTAAACTCTCATTCACACCTCTAGTATTTGCATGGTACTTTCATTTGGCTGAGAATTTGATAGGAAAATTTATTGCGGGATTGCCTCATGTGTCTCCTGCCTTTTAGCCTAACTAGACAGATCCTCAAAGATGGCTTTAGATTGTTCCTGGAGGTGAAGATTAAACTGCCCAAGCTCAGAGTTGAGACGGGCTGTATGAGCCTGAAATGAACGAATTGGAATGAAGCCTAATAACAATAGCAAAAGGTTTTAATCAATTAAAATCATTCTCTAATGACCAGGCATAGTCATTTTAAATACAAGAAGAAAAATGAATTCTATGGATAAATGTCATTTGTGTGTATGTGTGGTATCATTTTGGAGTTTTGGTGCTGGGGATGAAGCCCATGACTGCATACAAGCTCTCCCCAGCCCCTGGTGAGTGTTTTGCATCATGCATTCTACTACTTCCATGCAGGGGTCATGGGATCAGCTCCTGATGCCTGCAGTTCAAATGCTGTGCTGGGAGGTTACGACTGTTATCCTGACACAACATACAATCACACTACAGAGGGTTTTAATGAGAAATATCTCTTTAGTGTCCATTGATGTAGGAAGATGCAGCCCATTGTGGGTGACACTGTTCCCTAGGCAGGGTGTCCTGAGCAGTATGAGAGAAGGAAGCCAGCTGAGGGCAAACAAGGATTCATGTGTTTTCCTGTCTCTGTTGGGACCATGGATGTGCCCCACTGCTTTAAGTTCCTGCCTTGACTTCCCTGCAATAACAGACTGCACCTGGAATTGTGAGCCAATGAAACCCTTCTTCCCAGAGCTGCTTTTAGTCAGGGTGTCTATCACAGTAACAGAAATGAAGCTAAAACAGATGCTCAGGGCGTTACCCACACGGGGTCTCAGATCCTTCTCACCCCACCATGTCCCGGATGTCCTCACAGTGCTCTCCCTCTGTGCCGAACAGAGGTGAGTCCAGAGAGCTGTGAAACCCTTCTTACATTCTGCTTCAGGAAATATCAGAGGGGGAGAGTGGACTCATTTCACCCAGTCTAAGAAGACAAAAAATACCCACTGTGACTGGAAGCCACTCATCTGAAACTAAGGACACTTTGTGGTCAAATCTGATTTCCTAAAGGATAAAATTTAAAAGTCTATGTCACTGAATGGTGTTTGAAATAGTCATTTGCCTGTACATTGAGGAGGTTCTACAGACTGATACTTTGTTTGGGGAGTGGGTATATGTATTTTTGATTTGTTAATAATGATATTTATCTTTAATAAAAGTTAAATTAAGAGCAGCATAGTGCGTGTGGGTGGTTCTAACTTACAGCTCGTCTGAAGTTATCCATATCTGTATGGTCTAAATTTGTCTTTTTTTTTTCATTGATATTTTTGTTTCTGGAATTTTTTATTTGCCTTTGATTTTGTATGCTTAGAAAAGTATTGTTGAACAGTCTTGTTTGTGTTTGAAATATAAGAGGACTCTTGTTTCACTCATATTTTGGAGGCAAAGCTACAGAACTCAACAGAACGGATGGCTCAGCACTTTCATGACAGGAGATTAGAGAGATGGTCTCTCTGCCACAGAAGGTACAGTATAGGGGATAAAAAAACTATCTGTTTGTATAACAAGAAGAATGTTTTTAGAAGGAAGTGACTTGACCAACACTTTGACCTCCGACTTCTAGAACTGCCTGATATTTAAGCTGACATAGAAGATATCTGTTCAGGAAGCCCAAATGAATAAAACAAGACTAGATAATTTGGGACTAGAGGGTAAATGCCTTTATAATGTGATACACAGAATTTTGCTATGGTTGCCTGTGATTTTCTGCCCTGTTCTCCAGGACAGAGTCGGGTGAGACAGCACAGCTGTGGCTATGCCATATTGCACAGCAAAACAGATTTTGTGGATGTAATTAAATTCAGGATCAGTTGGCTCTGAGTCCATTAAAGGGGCATGGCTTGAATGGGTGCAGACTGGGAGCCCTTTGAAGAGGAGATTGCTCTGGACTGCACCGAGCTTCCAGGGTGGGGAAAGAGCCATGCCACAGCTGTTGATGGGTGTGTACTGGGAATGGGGGCCCTCAGCTAACATCCAGGGAGGAGATGGAACCTCAATCCTGCAGAGCCTGCTGAGCTGAAGCTGCTAGCATTTACCCAGTTCCTTGCTGTGAGAACTCCTTCAGCTAACAGCCTTTAAGATACCAGCCCACTCTGGACATGGTTTTATGTAGTATAAGTGCAGACAAAAGGCATCCATGGTGCTCTTTTTCTGCTGGTGTAGGATTCCCCTCTGTATGCTGTGAATATGTTTTATTACCCTTGGTTAATAAGGATGATGTTTTCACCTGTGGCAGGGCTCAATAGAGCTAGGTAGGGAACACTAAGCTGAATGTATGGAGATAGAAGGCAGAGTCAGGTAGACACCATGTAGCTGCCGAAGGAGAAAGGTGCTGAAACCTTGCCAGTAGGGTGACACATAGATTAATAGAAATGGGTTAATTGAAGAGGTAAGAGCTAGCTAGAAATATACCTGAGCCATTGGCCAAACAGCGTTGTAATTAATAGAGTTTTGTGTGATTATTCAGGTTGGGGAGGCCAGGAAATGATTGTGCAATACTATTTGCATAGCCTTTCCTTGACAAGCGTGGCAGGCCTCCTGCCTTCAGAACTGCAAGGTAGCAAGCAGGTGTTTAATGTTCACTCTAATTAGTTGCACAATGTGGTGGTTAGTTTTTAATGTTGGCCTTACATAAGCTAGAGTCGTCTGGGAAGAGCAAATTTCCACTGTGGAATTAATTAAACCTTTTGGCCTATGGGCAGGTTTTGGGGGCATTTTCTTGATTGATTATTGATGTGAGAGGGGCAGTTTGCTATGGGTGGACAATCCTTGGACACCTGGACTGTATGAGAAACACACTGAGAAAGCCATATAAAGCAAGCAGTAAGCGGCCCTTCTTCTTAGCCTGTGCTTCAGTTCCTGCCTCCAGGTTCCTGCCCTGATTTCCCTTGTGATGGGGTGGGACCTGAGGGTGGTAAGTTGATTGCCTCCCAGATTGCCTTTGCTTAGTATTTTATCACAGCAATAGAGAATAAATTAGAGTAGAAATTGGCACCAGAAAGTAGACTATGGCTGTGACACATCTAAACACGGTTGGGATGATTGTGCAAATGTTTGAGCTCTGCACTAGCAAAACCACTGAGTACTCAGAGCTTTCCCTGATCTTCTGTAAGAGTTTGGGAGGTGAGACTGCTGATATCAGTGCAGGCACTGGAGGCCTTACTTGGAAATTTGAGAGTTTCAGGCAAATTTGAGAGTTTCTCAAAGATTCTGTCAGTATCATTCATGTGAATTAAGAACCTGTTGTGCCCTAGCTGTGTGAGGCTGAAAATTCAGATGGGATTCAGGAGAGACCAGTATGAAATAAAGTCTTCTGGAAATACATCCTCGGGGTCAGCACACAGAAGCTGCAGTCCAGAGGGAGGCAAAGCTGCATCTGATGCTGGCAGCTGGTTATGTGCAAGAGTCTTCCATGTGGTGCTGGTTTTAGAAGGATGAGAACTGAGGAGCTGAAGAGATCAAGGAGAGCAGCTGAGGGTTGGCACGGTGAGAGGCCAGGAGATGCCACTCATGAAGGTGCAGTCAGTAGAGGCCCCAGCACACTGGAGATGCCAGGACCATGGGGTGCCCACCATGTATGGCAGAAGGTGTGGAGGGGAACTGGCCTGACCTTGGAAGGCAAGCTGTGGATGCTGCAGGTGGCAGAGTCAGCAAGGTGAAGTCCCAAGATTTTTGGAACCCAGAAGACCATGAGCGAATCTCTGAGTCAGGGACTAACGTATTTATACTGCTCGGTTTTGGTTTTGCCTTGGCATGGTTAAAATGAGAAATATATAACTAATTGGTATCTACGTGAGTGTGAGTGTGCACACACACTCACACACATGCACGCACACACGCACGCAGATACCCTCTGAGGCCTGAAGAGCATGTGAAGCTGGAGTTATAGGAAGTGATAAAGCCATGTTTTATGGATTCTTGGAACTGAACTCAGGTCCTCTAGAAGAGCAGGAAGTTCTCTTAAGCACTGAGATATTTCTCTGACTCCCTTATATGCTTCTTAAGGATTTATTTTATGTTTGTCAGCATACATATATGTGTACCACATGTGTGCACTGCCTGCAGAGGCTAGGAAAGCCTAGAATCCTTAGAACTGGGGTCACAAACAGCTATGAGCTGCCATATGGGTGCTGAGAATTGAACTTGGGTCCTCTGCAAGAGCAGCTAGTGTTTTAACCACTGAGATATTTCTCTAGCTTTTAATTTACTTTTGATCTTTATAGAAGTCTGTAGTTGAGATATTTTGGACATTTAAAAAGACTTTTTTTAAAGAGATTTGACTTTAACACTGTTGAAAAATTTAAAGCCTATGAGAATTATAAAGATACACTTGTTTTATATTGTGTCATATACAAGAGACCTTGGGGATAAATAAAAAAGAAAGGCTATGGTTTAAGAGGGATGTATTTGTGTGTTGAATTGACAAGGGGTCAATTGTGCCACTGAGATTTTTGTCAACCTGGCACAAGTTAGGTCATCTTGAAGGAACTGAGAAATTAACTTCATCAGATTTGCCTGTGGGAAAATCCTTGGGGCCTTTTCTCTATTAATGATTGACATGAAAGGGTTCAGCTCACTGTGGGCAGCGCCAACCCTGGAGGGTGATCCTGAGTCGTGTAAGAAAGCAAACAGCACACCATGAGGAACAAGCCAGTAAGCAGCACTGCTTTGTGGCCTCTGCTTCAGTTCCTGTCCCCAGTTCCCTGCCCCGACGTCCCCCAGTGATGCAGTGCGACCTTAGAGTTGTAGGCTGAAATAAACTCTTCCTGGGTTGCTTTTGGTCATGGTGTTCATCACAGTGATGGAAAGATCTGGACAGTGGGAGTAGAGGACATGGTTAGGAATGAGAACTATGGCTGACAATGGGGCCCAGTGAGTAAGGGCATTTGGTAAATGAGCCTGGCATGTTAGTTTGATTCCTGGGACCCTACAATGGAAGGAGGGGAAGTGAGTAACAGAAGTTGTCCTCTGACTTCCAATAGTGTGCTGTGGCACACCTGTCCTCACACTCTCATCCATCAAACACACACAATAATAATAAATAAAACATTAAAAACTCAGAAAATAGAAAGGAGTTAATACTCTTAAAGACAGAGACAGAAGAAGCAACATAAAGAGAATAATAATAATATAAAAAAAAACAGGACAGCGAATGAGAACCTGGAAATCAAGATAATGACAATAGAAAAAAAAATATGTTCCCGTAAGCCAGAAACTCAAACTGATCAGATGAATCACCTGCTCCTTTCTCCAAGAAGAGTAATCTGAACTTTGCCACCTGGTTTATCTAGGGGAAAGGGTTTTTAGGAGATGTGTCTTAGTCCTCTTGTGTTGCTATACCAAAATACCCAAGGCTGGAACATTTATAAAGAACAGATATGTGTTTCTCATAGTTGTAAATGCCAAGGAGCCTAAGGTCAAGGACCTGTCAGGCTTCTGGTCAACCAGTGACCTGAGCCTGATCAACCTGGTGCTAACCTCACACCCTGAGTTTGAGCTGGTGGGCTACACAAGGTAACAGTCAGGTCTGGGGCTATCTCTGACTGCAGGGGCAGAAGCATCTTCTACAGTTTTTCCTAGGATATTCTGGAATGTTCCTTGTTCTCTGGGCTTAGTTGTGGCCTCTTCTGACTCAGCCTCTTCTGAGCCATTCTGTCAGGCTGTGCATTGATTCCCTGTCACTGGATACTGCTCTGCTGCTGTGGGGATGTTGTGAGTGTAATGGGAGTCGATTTCTGTTGACTGTAACTGGAAACCCCAATTAGTGTGTACAGAAAGCCTACAGCAAAAATCAGACCTCATGGGGAAAGGCCAGAATCGTGCCTTCAAAAGGGTCCACTGACCTCAACTACTGCGGAACCCAAGCAAGGCCTGAGCCACAGCCCTTTGCACCCTGCATCTCTAAAGTGACAGCTGTCATGTTGGGATTCTGCTCAGCAGCAAACCATAGATAGAGACCCTATTCAAGGAGGAGAATCACTTAAGAGCCAGGAGCATAGGTGTGACCCCACAGAGAAAGTAGCTGAGATCAGTGAGACAATTTTGTGTACCAGCATGTGTGTTAGCTAGAACCACAGGAAACATTGGTTGCCAGAGTTCCCCTTACCACCTACCAAGACACCTTATCTAATGTAAGTGGTTGTCATCAAACAAAGGACTGAAAGGGCA